ATTGTCATGGAGCTTAACTTGCTTTATTTTCCAACCTGGATCGGTTCACCCCTTCTTGGGCAGCCTGGTGACTCTGTTTCCAGGAGCTTACCATATTTGCTACAGTTTGTGGGGACATCTGACCCGTTTAATGACTTCAGCTCAGAATCTCCAAATGCAACCATTCCACTAGCCTCAGCCTTCCTAGTAGGAGAAATTACAGGTATATGTTACCATGTCTGGCATAACTGCTTTTACTTGACATAGTTTTGGAAATACTTATAATTTCAACTTGGTGACATCATATATTTAGAAACCCTAAAGATATGAATTAAAATATAGATAATAGAAGAATTTAACTGTGTCCCAAGAACCAGATTAATCTGCAAAAATCTTTTGCATTATTTACTACCAGTAAAGATCAATAACACACGACAAATAATGACAACTCTAAAACTAAATCACTGAAATAAAGATATGAATAATTGGAGAGATATTTGTTTTTCATGAGTGAATTAGATTAATATAATAAAAAGACATTCCATTCCATATTAACTTAAATATTTAATGCAATAACAGTGCCAAGAAGTTCATTTTTAGGATTGGATGAAACCACAATGAAACTTTTTTGAAAAAAATAAATGGACTGGAATATCAAGAGAATGCCAGAAACAAAAATCCAGTGAAGTTTTTTGCCTTGCTCTCGTATCAGAGCATTTATCACCATTTACATCATCCTAGGAAAAGAAGAAAGAATAAGTTATTGTGATAGAATAGTAGCCAGAAATCCAACCAAATGCATATAAAATGTTAGTGTTTGATAAACCCAATAGTATTTTTTATACTAATAAACACTGGCTCAGTGAATCCCCACTATATGGTAGATTTTAAAACGAACTATAATAAGCCTACAAGAAAATAGAATATTGTATCTGTCTTAATTATGTAGGAGAGATGACTTGGATCACTTTGCTCAGCTGGGTTTTTTACCAAGCTTTCACAACTCCTTTCCATTATTTTATGAGGTAATGTTGCTCATAATCATCACTTGCGGAATAACTAAATTAAATTACCCCTTCATTTTGGATGTTTTTCATGACAACCTTGTTTGCTTGTGTGAATTTATTTAGTATTTTTATTTTTTCCCAGTTACATGTAAAAACAGATTTTATCATTTGTTTTTAAAACTTTGAGTTCCAAAATCTCTCCCTCCTTCCCCAATTGAGAAAGCAAGCAGTTCGATATAGGTTATACATGTGTAGTCATGCAAACTGTATCCATAATGGCAATGTTGTGAAAGAAAACAGAAAAAAAAACCTCAAGAAAAATAAAGTAAAAAATATATGCTTCAATCTGTATTCAGACACCATCAATTCTTTCTCTGGGGATGAACAGCATTTTTCATTATAACAGTTGTCTTGGATCGTTGTATTGCTGAGAACAGCTAAGTCATTCGCAGCTGATCATCTTATAATATTGCTGTTACTTTGTACACAGTACATTTCACTTTGCATCACCTCATGTAAGTCCTGATTTTGCAGAGAGCATCCTACTCATTATTTGTTATAGCACAATAATATTCCTTCATAATCACATACTACACTTTGTTCAGCCATTCCCCAATTGATGGGCATCCCCTCAACTTCCAATTCTTTGCCACGAGAAAAGAGCTGCTATAAATATTTTGTATATATAGGTCCTTTTCCTTTTTTTTTTTTTTTATCTCTTTTGGGATACAGACCTTAATAGTGTATGCATGGTTTTATAACCCTTTGGGCATAGTTCCAAATTACTCTATAGAACGATTGAATCAATTCACAACTCCACCAATAGCAAATTAATGTCTCCTTTTTCCCACATACCTTCCAACATCTGTCACTTTTCTGTCCTGTTAACCAATCTAATAGGTATGAGGTAGTACCTCAGAATTGTTTTAATATGCATTTCTCCAATCAGTAGAGCATTTCTTCATATGTCTATAGATAGTTTTGATTACTTCATCATGACACCTTTGTACACCTGGTGAGCATGTCTTCCAATTTTGTAATTTGATTTCAGGTTTTTTAAAGTTTACAAGGATCTCTAAATTGCTAAATCTAATGGTCTTTTCTCAGGCTTAATCGTTTTTTATCTGTGTGCCACGTTTGTTATCATTCACCACCCTTGCCTTCAAGGTGACTGTCTTCTCTTTGGCTGTTCATGACACGACTCTCTCTTGCTTCTCCTCCTATACTTGTGTCCCAACTCCCTAGCATAATGCATAATTGCATTTTTCAGTCAGTTATATGATGGTAAAGGTGCATTCTGCTGTGGAATATCACATATGAAATATCATCTCATTACTAATAGTACACTCTTTAAGGATAGCTATTATCTATGTTTAGGTTACCCTCATAAAAATTTCATGTATAATAACCATACAAGTCAATGATATTTAAAATCTCTTGGCTGCTTTTTTTTGGCTATTAACAAGGTCCGAAATTTTTTCCCCCTCACCTTTGATACTTTCTCCTCCAGGGACCTTGGGAATCAGTTCCTGAACACTTAAAATCATTTCTTATCTATTTGACATTCAAAGTCTTTTACATCCTGGCTCTAGTCTATCTTTCCAGTCTCATTATACGTTATTTATAGAATCATAGATTTAGACCTGGCAGGTACTTTAGAGGCAGAGTCTAAGCCCCTTATTGTACAGAAGGGCAAACTGAGACTGAGAGAAGTAATTCATGGTCAAACACCTAGTCTATGTCTGACACAGAATTGAAGTTCCTGACTCCAAGCCCATTGCTTTTATTCATGGTACCACAAAGCTGCCTCTGGGTACTGTAAGTTGTGATTCAGCCAAACTGGATCTCTTCCTGTTCTTCACACAGTGGCACTCCATGTCCCATCTATTTATCTTTGCACTGGCCATACCCTTTGTCCTAAAGAACCCTTACTCTAAGGCTTAGCTGAAGTATCACATTCTACATAAAGCCTTTGTTAGTCCTCTCAACTGCTAATATCTTCCTTCCATAATTATTTTATACTTACTACCTCGTATTTATTCAGAGGCAGGACTCAAAACCCTAATTTTCCTGGCTCTGGTGCTAGCTTTTTAGCTACTTTACCATGGTCCCTTTCCTCTGACATATACTGATTGTGTGATACTAGAAGAATCACTTAATCTCTCCATGTCCTAGGAAGGAGAATTCTGCAAAAGGCAGACAGAGTGGTATCTTTTTTCTATAGAGTGAGTGGTCTCATCAGAGGGTTCCCTATGTGAGTTATAGCTACAGTCCCTTGTATTGATTTTGTATTTTTTCTGTGGTGCAAATGACTTAAATACTTCTAATATCCCATGAAGTTCCACTCCAAAATATTTTATGTATCTCTTTTAAAAACTTATTTGCCCCAAAATTATGAAGTTCTTCAGATCTCATTTATTTCTAAAGATTACTACAAGATCTATTCAGTGAAACAAAGTTTGGTGGTTGGATTATTGTGGCTATATGAGCTATTTTTAGCTACAAGATAATTTTTTTTAAAGATAATTCCTTAAACACACTTTTCCTAGTTGATTTTTGTAAACAGAAATAAGTTTTTCTGAGGAAATACATGATCTCTTTTAGAACAAGAGTATTAAAAATGAAAAGACTTGACAAATGTTTATACATTTCAAGTTCATAGTACAATATTGACTCAATCATTTGATTTTTCAATTAGTGTACGAAGAAGAATGAGTTCTATAATGTAGACTTCCTATGTCAGTTCTCACATTCAGTAGTTTCCCTTTTGATATGAAGAGTACCCCCTTCACACTTTCCCCTAGTATTCTTTAAAAGTACCATATCTACTTTACAAATGATAAAATAGTGAGATTAAGGGTTGGGGGAGGAGATTGTCCGGAAATTATGTGTTGTAATCTATATATCCTATTAATAATCCATATTTGTCATGTGATTGGTCTGCCTCTGGCCATCCCCTAGTGCTAGAGGTACAATCTTGCATTTTAGCTAAGAGTAGAGTAGTAAATATTGAAAGTTCTCTCTTTCACCCCTCCTTCACATCCCCTATTACCTCACTCATTAGGAAAGAGTTTTTTGTCACAAAAATTACAGCTTGGCAAGTAGTCAACTTGTGATTATTGCAGTTGGCTAGGTGCTTGATCACTGGAGAGTTTTTTTGGTTACTAAACAGATGTATTTTGTGGTAAGCTTGCCTTTTGCCCTCCAATTAAAATGAAAAAATACTAATATGAATAATTTTCCTTGTGTGAATGTTCAGAAAAAATGGAAATGACTCATGAAGTCTATACCCTGCCTTCTGATTCTTTTTCTTGTCTTTTTAAAAAACTCTTTCCCCACTTTCCTGCTTTCTATTAGTCCTTTGAACATAGTTTTTCCTTTTTCTTTATATTCCTTACAATTTCTGTCTGCCTAGATTTGGGATACCACTCTGTTTGGTTTCTAGTAGTTTTTCAAAGGGAAAAGTGGAGCATGCAATAAAAGTCTGATTTGAAGGGATAAAAGTGGCTCCTTTATTTGTGCTTCTTAATTGATACCTTCCTCTTCTTTAAGTATGCATCATTGCTAGTTGTTTCTGTTATCTTATTTGAGCATCCTTCTCTATTTCTGTCCTGTAACTTATAGTGTGATTTATAGAAAGTTCCTCAAAAATAAAATTTTAATACTCTATCGTTTTTAAAACATCTGTGTTTGAGGTGTTAGAGTATGGTGCCCTGGGTAGTTCATGAAGAATGGAAAGTTGTTGGGTTTTTTTTTTCACTTAACCTAAACACAAAGAAATGTGATGGGTTACTTATAAGCTGTGACTTAAAGTTTCAAATGATATTATATTAACCATAAGAGCTCTTTACGTGAGTCAGAAATATTAGGTCTATATTAGAGTGTATATTTGGATTCATTTGTTTCAAGACTTATGTCACATTTCATAAGCTTTTATGCGTTCATTTGCTGCCATGACTTAGATCTTTTTTGATGATTGTGTTCTATTTTTTCTCACTCCCATATTCCTTAAAGGTGGAAGAGTTGTTGTTGGCCATGGAAAAGGTAAAACAGGAGCTAGAGTCCATGAAAGCAAAGTTGTCTTCTACTCAACAGTCATTAGCAGAGAAGGAAACTCATTTGACCAATCTTCGAGCAGAAAGGAGGAAACATTTGGAAGAGGTCTTGGAGATGAAGTAAGTGCTTATAATTTAATTCATACAAATACTTGTAAGGAATCTCTTCTCATATTGCTTTTATGTTTTCTTATCATTGTTCATTAGCTCTTAAAGAATTACAAAATTTTAGAGGTGGAAGGGATGTTAGTGGCCATATAGGCCGATCTAAAAGGAAGCTTCACTCTAAAATACCAAACTCAATCTATGTTTGAACACCTCCTGTGATGGATTACTTCCTTTCTCCTAAGGCAGTCTGTTCCACTTTTGAGTGGCTTTAATTTTCAGAAAATTTTTCCTTACTGCAAGCTTGAATTTGCTGCTTTGAGATTTGTATCCATTGTTCCTGGTTCTGCGTTCTTGAACCAAACAAAGAAATCCCTCTTCTACATGAAAGCTGCTTCACATTCCTGAAGACTTCTATCAAATCTCTTCTCTAGGCCCAAAGTTCCAAGTTCCTTAAACTGATCCTCATATAATGTCCACCCAAGGTCTTTTCAGCATCTTCATTGCCCAGCTTATCAATGTCCACCTTAAACTGTTGCTCCCAGAACAGAAGACAGTACTTCTGGTATAATCTGACCAGTAGAGGGTATAACTATCATTTGCTTATTTCCTGGGAATTATACGTTCCAATGCTACCCAAAGTCACATTAGCTCTTTTGTTTGTCATGTCTCACCTCTCATATTGAACTTCCAGTCCACTAATATCCCTGGATCTTTTACTGATAAACTGCTAACTATGTTAACTCTGTTCTATACAATGCACATTTATATTTTTAAAATTGTGTGGTCACTGAGACAATCTGTTGTCCAGAAAGCTTTATGAATAATGAACCTATGCCAATCTTTCCCATCATTTCAGTTACCAATTTCCCAAGGACAATATTCTCATTGTTAGCTGATTTACCTTCATTCCTTTCTTACTGATGATTCTTGACTGTTATAATATTGATATTTCACATCTCTATAACATTTTATGGGTATAGATTTCCCTACATACTAATGCGCATTTGTACAGTTAATCCTTACAACTACTATTTTTGTTTTTGTTTTTATTTTGGAGGCATTTGGGGTTAAGTGACTTGCCCAGGGTCACACAGCTAGCTAGTAAGTGTCTGAGCCCAGATTTGAACTCAGATCCTCCTGACTCCAGGGCCAGTGCTCTATCCACTGCACTACCTAGCTGCCCCCCTTACAACTACTTTAGGAACGAAGTAGTCTAAATATTTATATTAATGTTTTCCAGATAAAAAAATTATATTTTAAATTTAAAAATTCAATATATTTATAAATTCAGTCTATGTCTAGGGTTTTTTCCACTATATCTTGCTGCTTAATCCTGGTTAATGCTAGATTTAATGCTTGGCAATCCCTCCTGCTTCCTATGTTTTAATAATCTTAGACACGGTTAAAAAAAATGGAGTGGTTAGAGAGACACTAGGTTTTAAAGTAGTATTTACTTTTTGAGATGTACCTGCTGAATGTACTATAGTGGAAGGAAGAGATAAAATGTAAAACAAAGAAAAACTATCTAAAATGACTGAAGGAAATCATCCCAGGTGTCAAGCGATTAGAACCTGGAAGAATGTGTCAGTTAAAATAAATGCTTGTTGCTGTAGTTAACTGATGGGAAATTCTCAGCAAAGATGAATGAGGCGTATTCCAGGAGGAAGAAACAGCTTCTTGTTCTGTGTTCCACACACAAACACCATCAGGTGAGAGAATAATCCAGCACCAGTCAGAGAAAGAGGAGGCTGCTGAGAGGTGCTGAGGAAGCTATTTATTAAACTGACATGAATAATGGAGAAGGTGGCTGTCTTCTTCAGTAGTTATTTATGTTTTCTTAATCCCCTTTTTTCCTATACCATTAATATCTGTGATGTTTTTCTAACTTCCCCTCTTTAGGATAACCCAAAAAATTGATTCCTCAGGCCCAGCAATTGTGTCATTTCCCTCATGGACTTGGTCTGGTCCAGCCATCTTTACTGTCTATGTTTTCTTCAGTGTCATTTCTACTTCCTCATGATGCACATCAAATACTGTGATATTAAAGTCCAAGTGTGATTCTGCTTTTGTTAATGGAGAAAGTTTGAAATTGTATCAAAGGAAAGTATGAAAGTATTTTTAACTTGTGCTCAGTTTTGTCTGTACTTGGTAAATCTAAGGCTAAACTAAACTCTAGAAAAATACCCTGTTTTGAAATAGCCTTCTCGGATTTGGTGAAGAAATGAGATATAAGTGGTGTGGGTAGAGGATGTGATCTTTTTCCCATCTCTGGGCTTTATAATTGTAATTTTTGAGCAATATTTTACAAATAAATGATTGCCCTAAATTTGGAGAGTTATTCAGCTATTCAATGTGGTGGTAAACTGAGCCTGACAGTGGTTCATTAGAAACCTTTTTGTTGTTTAGCCAGGCCTCAAAAGAAAAGGAACATTTTTATTGGCAGGGCCAACATTGGTTCCCCTACTCCTTGTGTTGTTACTTATTTTTTTTTTTGTCCTTTAAAAAATATCATAAAACAAAAACTTAGCTAAATAGAAAGAAACAATTTAGATTATGAGGTCTGCTATCAAGAGATCTGGATGAGTGCCTATTCCTTAATCCTTCATCCAGGTTTCTGTTGCAGTCCTACCCATTGCAAAACTATACAGCTTAAAAAAATTATACTTTTTACTTTTAAGAAAACATTTTTTATTGACCTGTAAATTTGACCATCCTGAGAGCTGATGTGGGAAGGAATATCTCTCAGGTGTATGTATGTGAGAATCATAGCAACTTAAATGCATCTTATATCCATTTTGCTGGCAAGTAATTGAGCTGAACCACCATGTCAGGGGCTTGTTAATATATACGTAATGGATACACATACGTGTTGTCTCCTTCTGTCCCTTCTTTTTCTGGAATTGTTTATTCCTCTCACCTTGATTCTTTTCTCTGTCTTCTGAATCTTATAGCTAGTCAGCAAATACTATTAAGCATTTACTATATGACAGGCACTATACTAAACTCTGAGGATACAAAGAAAAGGTCAAACTTGGTTCCCACTTTGAAGGAATCCACATTCTAATGGGGGAGATAACTTGCATATAACTCTGTAAATAGAAGATATATACAGTGTAAATGGAAGGCAATTTGAGGGAAACCATGGAGAAGTAAGAGTAGACTAGGAAAAGCCTCTTGTAGATTGTAGAGTTTGAACTAATTCTTGAAAGAAGCTAGGGAGTCAAGGAGGTGGAGATGAGGAGGGAAAGTATTCCAGGCATGAGGAACAGTCAAATAAAAGGCACCATGTTGGAGTCAGGAGGGTGAGTGCCCCATGCAAAGAACAGTAAGAAGGCTAGTGTTGCTTGATCATAGAGTGTGTGGAGAGGAGTCCAGGATAACAAGACTGGATAAGTAGGATGAGACCAGATTATGAAGGACTTAAAAACCAAACAGAACTTTTCTGTGCTTTTTCAGAACTAGAATCCATACCAAATGTTAGAGTGTTGACTTCAAGGAAGTGAGCGTAGCTTTAATCTTCATTCCTTCCCTTTTTTGGGGGGAGGTATCACCTGACCATCTCTGATATTTTTATAACTCTGCTCTTTTTCCTTTTGATGTCTAATGTTGAGCTTTGGAATTTTCTTGTTTTCTTCATTAAATTTTACTTGTGTTCTGTTTATTCAGGGCCAGATGTCTGCATAGTAGCAGAAAATGGATTCATTATAGAAACTATCTCATTAGCAGAAATTGAGTATTGCCTTTCTTAGATAACATAATCTAGTTAAAATGCAATTTTCTAAAGATCTCATCATCTAATCATATTTTTAATCTCATTTCCCTTTCCATTGCCCTGTATGTCAGTGAAGGGGAAGAGAACATGCATTTATTAAACACTTACTATGTACCAAGTACTGTGTTGAGTGCTTTGCAAATATTAACTCATTTTATTAAATGAATGAATGAAAAATAACCTAATGTGTAGGAAGAACTATGCTAAGTGCTGGGAATACCAATAGAAAAGTAAGACAGTCTTTGCTCTTAAGGATATCACATTCAAATAGGGTTGGAAACATGTAAAAGAGGTTTCATTTGCAAGTGTCAGTGATCCTTAGGGGAATGGTTATGCATCTTTTTTAGTGTCATTCCATTAATAAAACCATATGCATTTCTGATATTCAACTATTTTTTCAGTACCAGTGACTTAGGTGAAGAGAACTGTCTTCTGGGTGTTTACTTGAGGCTGTTGAGGAAATAGTTTCCAAGACAATCTAGTGGGTATGCTCTGGACTATACATATTAATTATTAGAATTACAAAAACTTTGATATGGTCAGCCTGCCAACTCTAAATGAACTTGGAGAATTTTTTTTCTTCCCCATGGTACCTTTTCCATTCTCTCAATCTCAAACTATGAATTTATTGGCTTAGACAAAATAATTGTTAATGACCATGTAATTTATTAGTAATATCAAGCAATAAAGAAACATGGAAAACATTTAGAGAAGATATAGGTTGCAGTGTAGCTGCCCTTCAGAGTTGCCTCTGTGCTCAGGGAAAATGTGGAAAAGAACAGTTCTTCGGACTTTAATTTTACATACCCTTGGGGCAGCTAGATGGCACAGTAGATAGAGCACGGGCCCTGGATTCAGGACAACCTGAGTTCAAATCTGGCATCAGACACTTGACACTTACTAGCTGTGGGACACTGGGCAAGTCACTTCACCCCATTGCCTCGCCCTCCCCCCAAAAAAAATTATATACCCTTGCTTACTGCTAGTTAGGCTTGGTCCCTGTTCTAGTGTACTCTGCTGCTACATGCTTATTTTCTCTCCTCCGTTCCCCAGTCTACTTGTGGTGCCTCACGTGATAACAGAAAGTTCATTTTCAATACCGGTGGAAGCCCAGTGTCACTGGAAGCAAGTTCATACTCTCCTTAGAATGTACATTGGCAGACCAAATTATCTGCAGAATGTCAGTTAATTGTCCAGCCAGGGATTGGTTCAACTTTAGGAAAGTCCAGCAAGGAGACAG